AGAGACGATGCCAAATTTTAAAGAACATTAACGTCACTAGGCAAAAAATTCCTATCCCCAAGGGAAAAATACCTTTATTCCAAAGTTCCAGCAATAAGTTAAGAAGAATCAGTAGAAGGTTGTCGTCATTTAAATCCAAAGTTTCTACTGCTGAATAACTTGCATCATAAACCAAATTTCAAAGGCTCGTAGACCACGTCAATCCATTGATATACAGCTTTATTTTAAGCCAAGTCCGTACTGAAAACCAAAAGCCTAAAGCTAGACGATTTACATTGGACGAGAAGTTGTTGGCGTTGTCTTTGCTTAAAGCTAGTGGTAAAGGGTATAGACTATTATCAAAAATATTTATTCTATCATCCAGGCGAAATCATTTTCTTGAATGAGCTTTATATTATGTATAACTACATAAACTTTCTACCTAACACATGCGGAAAGTGTATTTTCTGGACTTAAAGGCTTGTTTGAACTCTGCTTTTTGTTATCATTCGTGCAACTTCCATCACGTGCAGAAACACTTTCCTCACTTGTTAGGTTAACAACGATTTTGGATTGTGAGAAAAGGACCTCTTTTGTCATTTTATTTACGATTTAAGTTTTTCATCAAGCTATTGTTAAATGTACGTCATTACTTCTTGTAACTGTCCTTATTATCTTTAACTTAACTAGCATTACCTACCTATGTATGTATACTTACATGGAAAAAAAACTGTTTCGCAATAATTGTAATTAATTCCATATTCTTTAATATTTTCTGTCTCAAACTTTAATAAATATCTAAATTTGTCATCTTAATTTTTAGTCAATTTTACCTTGAAGGCGCTTCAACACTACCGATTTTATGAGTTTCTTCTTTTTGGCACAATTATTTTATGCCAAAAAATGGTAGAAACTTTAAAGTGGTGGTGTTGAATCGCTAGAATCAAACAATGGTGCAAACGATCCACCGGAACAAATAAGATACCGAACGAACCCTAATTGTGTTTTGCATTCGCCAATAAATCCAGAATTACAAAAGCTTACCCCCCCAGTCACTAGAGGCGCTGAAAACTTATAGACAGGTTCTCAACACGGCACTTACCTTTCTAAGGGGGGATGTTTTGTGATGTCTTGTCAGTTTCTTGAAAGTCTGTCGTGGTCAGTAATGATTTTTGCTTAAAATGCAACAAAATACAGAAGAAAAAGGGGGTTGCATCGATCCCTTGAAAAATATAGATGAGGCGGCCAATATCAATGTAAATAACTAAAAATACAAACTTTTTTTGACATTGGCTCTCAAAATTTGATGTTTCATTTTTAACACTAGTGCTATAAAGACTTTATGGCACTAGTGCGATAAAGTAACATTTTTAATGCTTCGGGGGGGTGTTAAAAATTGCATTTTTAACACGTTTGTAGAAAAAATAATTTACTTTACGGGTAAAAGTCACGACCATACCATTTTTAACATTAAGAGACATCTTGTACTCATCCGCTGCAGTGGGCAGGACAGAGTCAAGATCTTTCTGTAATTTTATGCAGTCATTTCCATTAGATATTTGTTTAAATAATTTTAAGTCATCTGCATAAAGCAAACTGGTAGATATGTGCACACAGCTGGGGAGATCATTAACAAATAATATGAAAAGGAGAGGGCCCAAGTTGCTTCCTTGAGGTACACCTGATGTAGCAGTGTTTTGACCAGATCTAGACCGCCCACTGATCTCAAAAATAAATGGATAAACAAAGAATGCTTCTAATGCTGCTAATTTACGAAGTCATAATGTAAACAAAAACAACTGACTGGGAGAGCTGTGAGCGTGCGCAGTAGATACATGTACTGTGCGTGCACAAAATCTGGCCAATGAAAACGAAGGAATTTCAAAATTTAGAACAGTTGTTCAAAAGATATGACACTGCGCAGGCGTTAGGCTGTTCCGTTGCACAACTGTTAGTTTAGCCAATCGAGCCGTACGATTGTTCATACATTTATTTTTTAGATCAGTGAGACCGCCCCACTTTGACTATCTGTTGCCTACCCTCTAAGTATGACTTCATTAGATTAAATGCACTCCGTGCAAAATCAAAATCGATTAGCTTACCCAGAAGCCTTCAGTGGTTTAAACTATCAAAAGCCTTAGCACAGTCCGTATCTATGACATCCAACTTTTTGTTCTCTATTGCTTGTGATGCATGCTCCGTAAATAAACTCAAATTTAAAATTGTTGACCTATCATGAACAAATCCATGTTGGTTCATTGTTATTCTATGTTTAACATGTTCATAGATATCATTATACAAGATACATTCAAAAATTTTTGATAATGTATTTAATAGACTTATATATAGAACAGTAATTTTCGATGTCATTTTTTCCCCGCTTTTATGAATAGGAAACTATGGCTGTTTTCAAGTCGGTTGGAAAACACTCTTGTTTAATAGCCAAGTTAAAAATATATACCAAAGGCTTTAATAAGAAATCCACACAGTCCTTATAAATATAAGAGGGAATTTCACTCGGAATTTCATCAATGCCCGTGGACCTCTTAGATTTTAAATCCTTTATAATCTGCAAATGCATTTGCTATACCTGCTGGATCATTGAAGTTCTTGTCACCTAACCTCATTTCCGCTGGCATTCTACTTTGATTTTTTCTAGACTTGACAAATGCCCAAAAACTGCAGGAGTCATTATTAATGTTACTTTCCAGCGATCTTTCGTAAAAGTTATACTCGGAGTTATACTCAGCTGTGCTTTGAGTTCTGATTGATCGTCTCAAGAAAACATACTCTAGATGTTCATATCATTCTCAGCACTACCTCCGATTACACAACAGTGCAATCGGTTTTTTGTCTTTACTTAATGAATGAATCTGTAGATTAATTGATTGATAATATTGATTATTGAATTTTAAACCTTAATGAAACTTAACTCCCAAGTCCATAATTTCTGATTTCCTACTCAACGCAATCCCACTTACAAAATAATCATCCATAAACTTTTCTTGTATAGGAGCAAATTTGCTGATGTTAAGGCTTATTTTGTTTACACCAAGCCAATCTACAACAGAGTCAAGATTAGACTACAAAGTATTACAATCTCTTCTATCCTCGGTGCTCATCATTTCACATTCTGAACAATTTAAAATCTTCCGCATATAGCAAGCCAATGGCCATAAACTGTTTGGCAAGTCATTAATAAAAATCGCAAAAGGCAGTGGCCCCAACTTATCCTTTGGGGGACACCCAAGGTAGACACAAATGACTGATTTGGTCAACAACCTAAGGCTTTTCAAGCAAGTGAAATTTTATAGAGGCGCTTTTGGAGAAGCTAAGTCCTTGAGCTTACTTGGCAGTACTTAATGATCTATTTTATCAAATGCCTTAGCGCAGTCAGTGTATATTACATCTAGTTACATATTCTGCAAATACACATAGATTAGTGACTGTAGATCTTCCAGGCATGAAGCCATGCTGATATTTAGATAATCTGCTACTGAAAAACTTGTTTCACTTTGCTGCCGCTTTTGTAAGTGCGGGTGATAGCTACCATTTTTAAAATATTAGGAATTGCTCAATAGCCACGTTGAAAATAAATGCTAGCAGCTTTAAAAACCAGTCCTGGTAACCGAGTGGTAACCCTCATGGGCATAAAGGGCATACCATCTGCTTGATTTGATTTTTTGAGTTTTAATTTTTTATACTTGTTAGAATGTCGGCTGCTGTTATTTCTGAGAAATCAAAAACACCATTCTGGCTGTCAGGTTCCTTGCTTTGAGAGCAAATAATATACTCAGAGGCGTCTGGTATACTCCTTGAATCACTGAATCTGCTGTTCCGATTGTCATTTCAACCGGCATCCCTCTAGTACTTCATTTACTGTGAATGTAAGACCAAAAAAGGAGCTAGGATCTACCTGTATACATTGCTCAGCAGAACTTAAAGTTTGTTTTTTATTTAAAGATAATTCCCCAAGTCAAAAATTTAGTAACTATGTTGGCAACATAAGCCTTTTCTAAATAAAAAATTTGAAAGCATTGACAATTTTACATTGCATTGCCAACATAATGTCATTTTGACTTTTATCTTTAAAAAAAAACAGACTTTAGATGTTCCAAATACTCAATTTTGGTTTGGGACTTTACTGTCTGCCTCGGCACCATGTATCTGTCATATTCCTGCCTCCTGGCTATTTCTTTTCTGATTTTGCCATGTAGCCTATTCTTTTATCTGTTTTTACGTACCAGGTTAATAGAGAACCACAAGGGATATTTGGCAACGCTCGGACTTTGATGCTTAGGTTCTGAGGCATCTAACAGTGTGTATACATAAATTTATAAAATACTTCAATGCTTGCATCAGAGTCCTGGGGCTGCCATGACTCTGACCATTCACAACTGTGGAGTAACTGATACAAAAAATAGTATATTGTATTAGGAGTAGAAGCTTTACTTTTTTGTGCTGAAGCAGTGGGTTTGCGAGCCGAACGTAGTGAGGCTTGCAATACTGCTGAAGCACAAAAAAGTGCTTCTACTCCGTATGCAACACGCTATTTTTTCTCCAAACGAATGTGGTAAGCTCGGGGGTAACTGGATGGTTGAGCGGCAGTAAAAGTACGAGCGGCACTAAAAGTACATTTACTGCCGCTCCAGCGGCACCAAAAGTACTTTTGCTGCCGCTGGGGTTGCCAAGCAGCATAGAAATTAAATTTCTACCACCTCGACAGGTGTTAACCTCCTGGATTTGCCTAGCAACATAGAAATTGAATTTCTACCATCTTGACAGGTGTTGACAAAGTGATGTTTTTTTGACGTTTGGAGAAAAATATAATTTCCCTTAGAAAAATCATACACATATTTTTTGTGTCAGCTCACGAGCTATGTAAATCACCCTGTATATTGATTTTCTGCCTACTATAGAAATATTTCAGTTTTTTGCCCTATTAGGTACTTGAGAATGTCATTGAATTAATAAAAATTATTGTAAACAAAAATTACTAAATTATATTTTTTTTTTTCTAGAAACTGAAAGGTTTGTTAACTTAGTTTTTCAAACTTTAACCACAAAGGATTACATAAATACGCCAGTGATACCCAACGCAAATCCACCAAACCCAAATGTTAGTACTTCTAAACCCAAAGAGGTAGGTTCATGATATATTTGATACCTATAAAAACAAAATTAAATCATCTAATTCCATAATAATTTTTTAAGACCTTCAATTTTTTGCAGTTTTCTTTAGCTGAAAAAAGTATTAATTCAGAAATCTTTATGAAACCAATTTTTGTAAGTTCTGTGTTATTTTCTCAGTCACAAATTGCACATTTGTGTGTGGTAATATCAACTTAAAACACCGTTAGATTTACTTTGCCTTCTAAATTGTATTGTTTATTGATGTTTTATTCAAATTTCCAGGGAAAGGACACCAAAGTTATCATATCACCTAGTGAACTCCCAAATTTAAATGAAGTTGTTAATGGTAGTGCAACTGATAAAAAGGAGGTACCAAGGGAGATAGTTAAGAAGGATATTAAAAGCAGAAGAAATTCTGAAAATGTGGTAAGTAATAATTATATCCAAAGAATAAAGGAACCAATCTAAATATGTATGTCTATCTCAATTTAATTGACTAATTATAAATTTAGGAAAAAGAAGAGAGGCCACCTAGGCGACGATCGAGACACCGTTCTTTATCGCGTAACAAGTCCCGTTCCAGATCATGGGATAAAATGAAAAGATCGAGGTCTCGGGAAAAATCCAGAGAAAAGTTTGACAGAGATATCAATCATCGATTAGACAGAGAGAAAAGGGAACGTGAAAGAGTGGAAAGGGACCGAGTGAGGCCTTGGAGGAATAAATCTCCTGGAAGAAGATACGATAGAAGGCGTTCAAGGTCCCCTAGAAGCCCGAGCCCAATAAGAATTATTAGATCGCGATCTAGAAGCCCCAGACATGTACCGCATAGAAACAGATATAGGGCCAGTAGGAGTAGGTCTTTGGAGAAGAGAGAGAGGAAGGATTCTAAAGATTTAAAAACTCAATCAAGGTTGGAATGAATGTTGTTTCTTCTAATTTTTTGCACTTTGTTTTTGATATAGGTAGGCTTGTTGAGGGCCGAGTCAAAGTTTCACAACACCTTCAAGTATTGAATTATTGATTGTAAAGAAAAACTACTTTTAGAATAATTTTGTAAAATTGTTACTTGTTTTGCGAAAAAAATGAAGAGTAAAAAAAAAATGAAAAAAAAAAAAATCTGCCTAATGAAAAAAAAAAAAAAAAAAAAGTAGGTGATAAAAAAAAGTATAAAAGTTAAAAAAAAAAAAATTGCGCCTACCTACTTAGAAAAAAAATTGAAAAAATATACAAAAAAGTGACTAAAACAAAAAAAAAAAAGGCAAAAAAAATAATAATTAAAACAGGCACAACTATTTTTAGACTTACGTAGTTTGTATTTGTTTATATTTTCCCCTATAAAACTCTCCCATAATTTTAAAGAACAATCTGCTTTTGTATTTCAATGCAGCCCTGTAAATCTGCTACCAAGAAGCAAATCTTGCTCGAAAAATTCCAGGTAAAGTTCATTTGATATTGAAAAATATAAATCTTATTTATTAGGTCTCCACATGATTTTTTTTTGCTTATATAATATTATGATTTCTTGTTGACATAAACTATACCATTTAACAAATTGAATCTTGTTAGACCTTCTACACCCATCCCAGACTCCAACCATGAAGATTTGGATCTTGTGTCAGGAGGCCAGAATGTACCCAGTGTTGTAGGGCAACCAAACATCTCAAAAAGAAGATGTCGGTGAGTAATTCTCAATTCAGTAAGATCTATTCAAATTTCAATAAGTGATTAGCAATAGTTCACACAGTTGCAGTTCTCATTGTTATGTGCAATATTTTATTATTTCATTAGTGACTTTGACGAAAAAGGTTACTGCATGCAAGGAGAAATGTGCCCCTTCGACCACGGTGTTGATCCAGTGGTCCTTGAAGACTCAACTTTGACTAGAGTATTATCCTTTGACGCTAATAGCGATGTTGCCGGAGCTATAGCAGCAGGAGCTCCTTTGGGTGCTGTCCCGCTGCCTCCAGGAACCGCACTACCACCACCAAGACATAATAATGATAACCCTTACAATCCCCAGGCGCCGCAAATGTGGGGCCGCCCTGGTGCCCAGCAGTTTAGGGGTCCTAGACCTATGGGAGGAGTCAGAGTGAGTGGATCCAAAGAAAAAAAATGATAAAGAAAAATAAAATAAATAATTTTAAGTTGCCTTTTACTCATCAGCCGCCACCAAATATGGGAGGGATGCAACGCGAACTTATTCCTGTACCTGTTATCATGGACAGTACAAAACCTCCAGGTGTAGTGCCTCAAGGAGGCTTTGCCCCAATGGGGGGTCCATTTGGACATCCTCCTCCAGTACAGAATTACGGGCCCAATGGTATGGCGAATGCTCAAGGACCACCTATGCATCCAGGAATGTATAATAAGAAAAAGGTTTGTGATTGTTGTTTTTTTATTTAATGCAAGTTTTCGATTAAGTTTTTCTTATGTGAGACTTTTTTTCACCATTGTTGATAAGCACCATGTCCAGAGCTCTAGAATTGATTGCAAAAGGGTTAGCTGAACCTCTTTGTCATTAGTTTTTCATGAATAACATTTGGAAATCTATATACTATTATAATTAATAACTAAGGTAGACATGTGCAAACTGTTTTTTCATTAAGTTTAAATCTTTGGACCTCATAACTTGTCAGTTGCAAAAAATATCGATCCACATCCTATTTTAATCCAAATAATTGACTTTTGTTTCCAGTTTGATTTTAGTCGGCTGGGTCCGAGGAAAAATCCAGGAAATTGCAGTTTGGAGTTGAAAAAAGTACCCACCGGAATGAATTCCATTACACACTTAAACAATCATTTTTCCAAGTTTGGGAAAATTGTAAATATTCAGGCAAGTTCAGTTGAATTATTTATTCAGTAAATTTGAAGAAAAAATCAATGCTTGGATCAAATGTTCAAAACAATATTAGGGATTTTTGACAACTGAGTATTGTACTTTTAATTAAAAAAAAAACTTATAGGTCCAATATGAAGGTGACCCTGAGGCTGCCCTCATAACATTTTCGAGTCATGCAGAAGCAAACAGTGCCTACAGGAGCACTGAAGCAGTCTTAAATAATCGATTTATAAAATTATTTTGGCACGATTCTGAGGGCAACAAACAGGAAAACGTGCCACCACCCCAACAGAACGCTAATAAAGATAAGTCTGCTGGAAATGTAGCCCCTAACAGCAATAAGGTGAGCACTATGAATAATCAATTTCAATTGGTTCACCCATCAAAATAATTATCAGGACTAGTTTTTCTAGAGATCTAACTTAATTTCCAATCTTTAGGTGTTAAATTTGGTTCAGCCAAAAGCTGGAGAAACAGAAATTGAAAACAAATCTGATGAAAAAGATGAGAAACCAGAATTAAGCAAGGAAGAGAGTAAAGCTCAGGCTACAGCTGCTATCCAGAAGAATCAAGATTTGCTAGCAGCTCAAGTAAAGGTAATAATTGTGGTAAAGTGTTGAAATAAAATAGTACAAAAATAATATATTTTTTAGATGCATAAAAATAAAGACGAGCAACGCAAAGAAGTTATAAAAATTCAAAGTGACTTGAGAAAAAGGAAGCAAGAACTTTTAGATAAACAACTCTCCCAACAGAAAGTTCTTATTGAAAAAATGTCCAAACTACCTCCGGGTCCCCAGCGTGATATCATTAAGGAAACAATCAATAAAACCCAGGAAGCAATCGAAGGGATCAAGAAGGATTTGGAACAAGCTGCTGTGGCCGCCAAAAATTCTGTTGTTCCTTTAAAAAAATCGAAAGAGGAGACGCAGAAGGAATTGCTGGACATGGAACTGGATCTCATTACCAAACAACAAGAGGGTGCTGACACGACAGAGCTTCAAAAAAAATTGCTAGAGCTTAAAACAAAAGCTGCGGCACTCACCAGGGTTAGTCATAGGGGTAGGGTCAGGGGACGGTTTACACCAGTGTACAACAGGAATTTGCTGAGCAAGAATAATTTGACAGATAGTAACTTGAGTAAGTCAAATTCTAATCCTTAGTTTTTTGGTTTATTTTTTTATTAATTACAGAACTCACAGGCAAAATTAAAACAGTCACTAAAATAGTCAACAAGGCCTCTATTGTGTCGCCAAATCCTGCGTCTCTTCAAGTGTCGTCTGTGCATCTGGCCCCTCCCACTGCTTTCCAGAAGCACGCCCTCGACCATCGGCCAGCCAGATTATTGGTTTCTGGCTATGAAACCGATGAACAGGATGCTGTTTTGGGTCACTTCCAAGTAAGAGTTACTTTATAAATGAATAATGTTATTAGGAGTTTTCCTTTCTACCATAACACACCAATTTTTGTGTTTTAATTGAAATGAAAATCATCCGCAAATGTGAAAGTTTCCACAACAAATCACTTAACACACTGACTTAACAGTTTTGCTAACTATATCATATCTTCTTTTAGCAATTTGGTGATGTTGTTGATTACATCATAGACACGTCATTGCCCAGCATTACGTTGAACTATAAAACCAGAGCCGAAGCAGAATCTGCCTTGTTAAAAGGCAAACATTTCCAGGACCGTACTCTGTCTATTACGTGGCAAAGTAACGCTGCTCATCGTCTGCAAACCCAACGAAGTGGGGGTTCCTCTACCAGGACCGTACTGTTGTCCGAATCGGACGAAGACCATTTGATTGATCAGAGTTTACTAGAAGGCGATGAAGAGGTATTTAGGAATTAGGATTGTTTGTGTAGTATTTTGTTAATTTGGCTTTTCTGTAGATGGCACCGGAGACTGAGGAAGCTCTTTTGCAAGACGACGAAGATGAAGATGAAGAGGACCGTTCCTGGAGGCGATAGTCCGTCTCTGGAAAGCGAGTTTTTTCTAGTTAATAATTTAGGGTAAACTCTGTACAAAAATAATGTTCTTTATAATATTCACTTGATGACTTTTAAATAATTTTGTAAGTACTGACCACTTTTTTTCTTTAATTTTAATTACAAGACTCCTCAATTTAATGGTTTTATTGAATATATGTGTATACACATATTCAAAATTTGCACTTGTAATAAAATTAATATTTTTTGTTATTTTCTTAGGCATTTATGTTGTCTTTTTTTGAATATTGTGGTCATATTTTCAAGTCTATTGGAATTGTGTGAGCTAAAGATCCATATTATAGAAATTGTTTTTATTATAAGTGGAAAAGTAATTTTTTTAGTCATTTTTGCTAAGTCAAAAAGTTGTACAAAATGAACGAATATTGTAATATTGTTAGCTGTTTGGATTGAAAAAAATATTGTCCCTAAAAAAAAAAAAAAATGGGAAAAATGAGCAGAAACTAATGTGAAAAATAATAAAGGAAAAAGAGATGTATATTTTAATAATAATTGGGGCATAGATTAAAAAAAAAAAACAAATATATTTATGAAAGAAATTCGTTTGATTTTTGACTGAATAGTCATGTTTTTAAGGTAAGTACAATCTGCACTTGGTAAATATTTATTAATAATTAAATTGAATAAATTTTTGCCAATGCAATTTAGCACGTAGGTAAACGATTTGTCTAACTGTCATTGGTCTAACCAATTGAAAATTGCCCCTTTGTTACCTACTTCTACTTATTTATGTACAGGGTGATCCAGTGTAAAGAGAACACCCCCTACCTTGGCCATTTGGGTGTATTTTGTTTCTAGGAATTTGAAAACGTTCTTCGAAATTTAATTAGATTTTTGGTTAATGGGCTATCTTGATTTTTCCAAGAATAAGTATTTTAGGGAAAAGGTAGAGTGTGATCACTTCATACTGGATCTCCCTGTACTAGCAAAACTCTCATATTTCTGTGGGTCAGAAAACTTATGTTGTTGTAGGTATGCGTTGGAGGTGTCAGTTGCACCGCGACCTGGTAGATCTATTGTTCCCCTCCTTCTGCTGCTCAGCTAGGTCAGGGCTTCCTGCTCAAAGCAGCCCCTCTAGACCTAAGTCCTTAGGGAATCTTAGGATATCCAGCGGTTCCAGAGATGAAGCACAGGTTGAAGTATCTTCCAACTGTATGGTGGGGCTTCCCAGATTCTTCATCCTTGAACGACTAATGGCTTTACAATTCAGTAGAAGGTGGTGAGGTGTTTCCTTTCCGTGTTCGCAGAATCTGCAGGTGCCATTTTCTTCCAGACCTAATTTGTGTAGGTGTTTTTCGAGTCTGCAGTGTCCCGAGAGGAACCCGGTTAGCGTTTTGACACTTTTCTTGCTAAGGTTGACTAGCAGTTCTGATCTTTTTTTGGTTAAAGTTCCCAGTAGATCTTTGGCCTGGTCTGTAGTCCTGGCTGTTCTAGCCAGTATTTGTTTCTCAGCCGGTTTTCTTTTTTCTTTTTGAGGATTTCCTGAAAGTGCCTATTGCCGCGACCGCAGAATGGTTAAGGGTGCAAAATAAAGAGTTCTCATCTGATCAATTCCGAGGTATTTTCCAAGATGGGTGAAACGTGCAATAAGATACCTTGTTTTCTTCACTAGATGTTTCACATGTTCATCCCATCTTAAATGCGGGTCAATTATTATGCCTAAATATTTAATCTTATTTGTTTTCTCTATGTTAGTATCATACGAAATATTTAGCGATTCAAATTCAGGTATGCTGTTGTTAAAAGATGTTAATGGAAGGAATTTGGTTTTCTGTATATTTAGAGTCAATTTGTTATGTGCAAGCCATTTAAAAATGTTTGCGAGATCTGTTTCTGTTCTAGTTCTGACACTGTTCCAGTCTTCCGCTGAATAAAATACGAACACGTCATCAGCAAAGTTCACGACTCTTCCAAAAAAATCAAGCTTCAAGAGGTTGTTAATATAGATTAAAAATAAAATAGGTCCAAGAACTGTCCCCTGAGGTACACCCCAGGTGACAGCTCGCCGACCGCTCCCTGTTCCAACAATTTCCACGAACTGTTGTCTGTTGTCCAGATAGCTCTTGAGTAGATTTAAGGCACTTCTTCTAAACCCATTTTGCTCTAGTTTTTTGATGAGTTTTGTGTGACAAGCGATATTAGATGCTTTTCTCAAATCTATGTAAAAACACAAAGGGCTGCCTGTTTTTTATCTACTGCATTGTACATTTCTTCACACAATTTCATTATTGCATCCTCTGTTGATTTTCCCTATCTGAAACCAAACTGTTTTTCAGAAAGAATATTGTTTTTTTCAATAAATCTGATCATTCTAGTTTTTATCACTTTCTCGAAAATTTTTGAAATATTTGTAATTAGGCAATCCAACGACCTGTCCAAATGGCGTCTGGTTGGCAAACAATAAACAAAAAACATATGTTTTTATTTTGACGGGATTAAGCCTAGTACTCATAACCGCGAAATTCGTTTTTTTTTGACGTTTGATTCACACATAAAACGTCAAATTGTCGAAGCAATGTCAAAAAACAGCGAATTTCGCTGTTATGAGTACTAGGCTTTATCAATACTGACATCGTTGACATGTAACAACCCGTATTCTAACCTCATAAAAATTTCAAAATGCCGGCTGGTTGGCAAAAGTCACGTGGTTTGGATTCCCTAATAAGGGATATATCGGTTATCGGTCTGTACCTATTAACGTCTACCTTATTTCCTTCTTTGTGCAAGGGTTTGATTTTGGCTAGCTTGAGCGAATCTGGAAAACAGCCAATACTAAAGGACAAGTTTATCAAGAACACCAGTAGTGGAGAAATCTCCCGAACTATTTCCTTCAAAGTTTCAGCTCTGATGTTATCATTTCCCGTAGATTTTTTTGGCTTTAATTCGCGTATTACTTTTTCGACCTCGGGAACTGACACTGTTTTCAACCCATTTAGCTTGTTCATTGTACCCCAAAGGGCTTCTTATTTGTTTTGATAAATTTTCTCCAATGTCAGAGAAAAATTTGTTGAAGTTATCTGCGATTTTAACAAGATCTGTAACTATAATACTTGCGAATTTTTTAGCTTGATTTTGTTGATTACCGTTTTATTTTGCGTCTTGTTACAGATTTTGTTAACAGTGTTCTATAAAGCCGGTCCCAGACACTACGTGTATTCAGCCGGTCCCAGACACTACGTGTATCGGCGAATATTCGGTATTCCGGTTTATTCGCGTAGCGTGTGGGAGAGTAACTTTGGCGAATATTCGTCCTTCGTCATTTTTCCGCCGATTGTCGGTAAACTGGCACGAAGCAAAGGAAGGCGAAGTGACGCGAAGTCCACTACGTGTGACTTCGCACTGCTCCCAGACGCTTCGGGGGTATATGCATAGTGTTTTGTCAGTTTATAGCGGTGTGCAGTGCCGCAAGGTTGATTTTTACATTTCTAGTTATTTTTAATTAAAATAAGAAATGGAGTGGACCAATGTATTAACGTTAGAATTTTTACAATTATTTGAAAATGAACCTGTCATTTGCAACCCAAAGATACAAGAGGTGTTTTCTGGGCTCAAAGTTTTGAAATATTTTTTAAAACTGGTTTAAAACAGTTTCACAATGACGTCATAAACTCTTTTGCGCGAGAAAATGATTTGAAAACGTAGATTCGATTATATGTCGAAGCGGTTTGAACCAATTTTGTGTGAAATCATGGGTTCATCGCGAGATATACTACTTCAAACCTGTTTTGAACCAGTTTCAAAAAAGTGAACGCGAGAAAACAGCTCAGATCTGCCGAAAATGACAGAAGTAGCGGCGGCAACAATCTGCACTTCATCAATGTCCATTTGAACTAAATAAACGTTGTTAGGGCCTCTAACTGAGGTGTCAACATTTAATTTAGGGATAGATCACTGGATCATAAAGGGGATGCGGACGTCACTGCTAAATAATGCACTCACACTTCCAGTTTTATATCTCTCTATTGTTGCCAAAATAATCGTTTAATAAAGTAATAAATACTGTAACCACATTCAAGTACTTTTAATTATTCACAGGTTAGTTAACAAGTCGCATTTGAGTTATTCGAGAACATTCACTAATCGGTATAAATTCACTAATTGTAGGTGCTCAATAGTCAATTTAACAATAATTGTCAGTATTAGCGGAACGTTAATATTTTAATTGAGAGCACAAGATAAAGTTTATTCTTAATAGAAATCTTCGGGAGTTGAGAGTTTTTATATTTTTAGAGAGCCCTTAAAAAAGGGGAGTGTGATTAACTCAATGTTTTACGCGATATTATATCACTTGAGTTTTCAAGCCAGCAGCCAGAGAGATAAAAAAATAAGTCTTTTTATTTAGAGAGCGAGAGAGAGAGAGAGAGAGACTGCACAAGGGTGCAACTAGAGAGAATAATTAAATAATTGGAGAAAAGTGAGCAGGTTCAAACTTATATAGATCTAGACGTTTTTACGCACTATTTACTGCTAGTGAAACCACACTACTAAAATCACAAATCACACTGCGAAGTGAAAAAGAGAAGGAATGCATTTTTTCCCCTAGCGACAAACCAGACTGGATCGATACGGTACAGCCTGGTACGGCGCCATTTCGCAAGTTTTTCACGGCGGGGGGCTTTTTTGCAACGTTGCCACTGTGATCATAAAAAATAAATATGATTGTTTGGTTGTTTCCACAACAAACGTCATACATGAAACGCCACTGAAAATCAACGGCCATCTGCTTGGAAACTTCGCCGAACAATTGTCAAGCCAAAGCTTCGCCATACCACAACGCCGTGTGGGAGACTAGGCAAATATTCGTGCGAATAACGAATATTCGCCTATTCGCCGAATACACGTAGTGTCTGGGACCGGCTTTCGGCGAATAGGCGAATATTCGTTATTCGCACGAATATTTGCCTAGTCTCCCACACGGCTATTGACACTTGTTCGGCGAAGTTTCCAAGCAGATGGCCGTCGATTTTCAGTGGCGTTTCATGTATGACATTTATTTAGTTCAAATGGACATTGGATGAAGAGCAGATTGTTGCCGCCGCTACTTCTGTCATTTTCGGCAGATCTGAGCTGTTTTCTCGCGTTCACTTTTTTGAAACTGGTTCAAAGCAGGTTTGAAATAGTATATCTCGCGATGAACCCATGATTTCACACAAAATTGGTTCAAAACCGCTTCGAAATATAATCCAATCTCCGTTTTCAAATCATTTTCTCGCGCAAAAGAAGTTATGACGTCATTGTGAAACTGTTTTAAACCAGTTTTAAAAAATGTTTCAAAGCTTTGAGAGGCCAGAAAAAACCTCTGGTATCTTTTGGGTTGCAAATGACAGGTTCATTTTCAAATAATTGTAAAAATTCTAACGTTAATTCATTGGTCCACTCCATTTCTTATTTTAATTAAAAATAACTAGAAATGCAAAAATCAACCTTGCGGCACTGCACACCGCTATAAACTGACAAAACATTATGCATATACCCCCGAAGTGTCTGGGAGCAGTGCGAAGTCACACG